TTATACATTGCTTCCATTTTTCTGAATATACAGACATATAATTCATTTGAACGCTATATGATACTGAAATTACGTAAATGGAATTTTAATTCAGTGAAGATTCACAGTGGGGTTCAGGCATTTAACTCCGGTGAAGTGACATCTAGCATCACTGGTGTCCGCAGAGCTTATTCCTGGCTGCTCCCACAGCTCCCCAGGCATCCAACCACTCTGCTGACAGACCCCCCTGGGCTCTGAGTTTTATTCCACTGGACAAGTCCATAACTGTCTGACATTCAGTGCACCCTTCAAGGTTCTACTGGCACAGCCAGGCCAGCTGAGCTCTGCTGTACACATGGGTGTGCTGGACAAAGAGGATGCTCCCTGAGTTTGTATTATTTTAGAGTAGGGATAATAAGAAGCCTGACGCAGCATTGTATGGATGGAAGTGCTGCACATGTATGTGGCTGTGCCCCCAGGTGTTGCTGACTGTTCAGGGCTGCAGCCTTCCCAGCCCCTTCTTCTTGATTAGTCTAAGCCTTGACCTAGTGCCCAACAAGAAGCCTCTGTCACCTTATCTCTACAATAGAGCTCTAAATCAGAGGCTCTGAAACACAGATTCATGACAGCTCCGAGCTTCCCATGTGCCTCATTCATAAATCAGATACTCTGCCAAATGCCTTGGTTCTGAGTTCTGCATCAGCAGATAGAAGGGGCCTCGAGGATCATCTGGTCCAACCTTTCTTAGCAAAAACATGCCCTAGACTAGATGTCCCAGCACCCTGTTCAGACAAATCTTAAGAGTCCACTGCTGGGGAGTCCACCGTTTCACAGGGGAGGTTATTCCAATGAGTGTTCTCATTGTGAAAAGTTTTTAAAGTCAAGTCCACCAGAGTGTGGCCTGCCCCAAAGCTTTATAGGCACGCTGGTTTGTCTTTCTGCACCTGTCCTGAATATGCTGCCCACATTGTATAGAATAAATAAATACACACATGCATAAATAGATACAAATGGGGACTTCAACGTTAATTAAGGTAATTCAGGATTTTCAAACATTTTGTAAAATTCGTATCTGTTACCTCCCTCAAGTCCTTATCTGAAGCTGGAAGCCAGGGAGGCAGTTTTAAATCGAAGTGGCAGCCAGGAAAGAGACATTCTATCTGCTTCACAAAGCCTGGCTGAAGAACATACCCAATTTCTGCTCCAGTTTAAAAACATCTTTTTCATAGACCTAAATTTCAATCTTAAGGCTTGTGTCTCCCAGGCAACATCAAGAAAGATTAAAATGCAATGTGCTTTGATAGGTATCTTTTATTAAAATGCTTTCAAAAAGCCACCTACAGGAAAAATAAAAGTAAATAAAAAGTAATACAAGTTTATTTTCTCTCCACTCTCTTTGAATAACTTTGGGAAAACAGTAATATTGTTATTCATTTTTCCCATCAGACAAACTGATGCAGGCTGGAGGATGGGGTCCTATTCTGAAGCTTACCTGTGTCACATGGAACATCATGATCTTATGCCATTGTATTTCCTATTTTTCAGATATTCGAACCGTGTGCAACTAGACAGTGGGCTGTATGTATAGCAATATTATTCTTTTCTAACTTAGATCCACAGACACTCTCAAGCTTTAGAAAACAGAGCTTTCCATTTTTTGGGCTCTACCTTTGCACATTGTAATAGAACCTTTATTTTAGAACCTATACCACCAAAATAAACAAAAAATTAAATAAAACCCACTGACACATTAATAAAACGGTGAGTAAAATTCTGATCACGTTAAAACTCATTATAATATTCCCAGTGTCTTCAGGAAATCAGTTTGTCAGTGTTTGTTTGTATAATACCTGTGTAACATGGGCTCAGAGAATGCCAGAAAGCGAGGGAAACTATACCATGTCTGCCAATCTCTGCTGCATGTCAAAAAAGAACACATAGCTCTGCAGAGATCATTGCAGAAAACTTGGCTACAAATCAAAACAAATAAACAGAAATAGGTAAATAGTAAGAATTCAAATAAAATCTGCATTGTCAAGAGTCACTGCACTAGAATGAAAAGCTAAAATCCTTTCACCATGTTCATTTTGGAAATGGAATGGCAACCTCAGCTCACAAACGAGAGGCTTTCATGGGATGGAATCCTTGGATGGCTCCTGACAGCAGCCTGCAACAAGTGTTTTGGCGGAAGATCCTGTGTAGCAGACATGGATTCCCTAGCTGGGGACTCCCCATTGCTGCCTGGTGCATCACACATGCTCTGGGTCACGTAAGCCCTGTGGGACTCTCCTAGACATGGGTAGTGTTACTTTCATCACCAGGGTTTTCAAACAGCAGCAGCTACTTCCATAGCCTGTCTCAAGTGTTCTTATTTTCACTCTCCAAATCTAAAAGAGCAATCACTTCATGCAGCTGGTACAAGATCAGGTCTAAGAACAACCATACCCCAGCCACCTCCTGCCTAACTTGCCTAGGTAAGCTGTCTCAATTTTTAGTTCTACCCGCAAATATCACTGCACACCCCCATGCAGACTCAAGTCAATCTGTATTAAGTTTATGCATGAGTTTTCCCGAACAAAAATCTGTCAGATATTTAAAGCTGAATACAGACCTACATGGAGAGCTGATCCGAAGTAATTTTTGACATAAATTTGGGTTGTAGAATTAGATTTCTATGCAGTGATTTCAAGAGAGACTTTTTTTTTCAAAAAATACAACAGGAAACAATTGAGGTTGAAAAGACACATTACATTATTTTCCTCCCCAAATGAAATTTCAACAAATACATTTCTGAAGCCATAAATAAAGTGTACTATTTGCTTCAGGCCTCCAAGTCTTTGTAAAAATATCCCAGTCAAGCCAGATGGAGCAATGTTCCAGGCAAGTACGTTTATAAAAACATTAGTGAACATATCTGTTTAATCTACCATATACCCACTCATATTGTGATAGCTCCAGTTTAAAATGTTAATCTTCACAGTATTCTGTGTGATACCATTTATAACTACTGCACACCTTGGGCCTGGGTTTCTCACTGACAGCTCACTTCAACATCACACTGCAGCTCACTGCTACTGTGTGCTTATTCTGAGGGTGCCAATATCCTGATTATTTAATTTGTGTTAATCCTTTTTGCCTTTTTAGTTTTCCAGTTAAGAGTCGTAGATTGCCTGCAGGCCTGCTTTGCACCTCACTGATCTTAGTCAACCAAATGGCAAATATGGTTATAAACCCAACCACATTAGGACTTAAGTGGCAGATCATAGGTCCTTGTTCTCAGAATCCCCTCCTATGGTTTTACAAGCATGCTATCACTATACAGGTTAGAAATGCTGGCTATTCTTCTGCTAAGTACTGATTTTATAGTATCATTTACTAACTACTTTATAGAGGTTAATGCCAAGTTTCCATCTGATAGCTTGGAGCTATGGATCACTCAAAAAAAATCTTATCAAGTTCCAAAAATAACAAGATAATGACTTGCATTTGTTATTTAGTGCTGGCATATATTGCCACATTTTGAGGAAATGGCTTGCAATAATAATGGCAATATGTACCTATGGTGAAGATTTATAAGAATTTCCACTGAAAACTGTTAATAATTCAGCCACTAAGAAATTGTTCTTGATGGAATTTGTAATGTGGGTATTTAAAAATAAGTCTGCCCACCTTTAAGGTAGCCAAGTTTCTGTTTTACTAAGTTATTTTGGAGGATGTGTTTTTGTACTGATATGAGAAACATCAACCAAATTGTACCAGTAGGAGCATGTCAAGAGTATTATAACTGGATGTGGGCAGTTCAGCCAAAGGAACATTCTCAGAAGTCTCTGGTGGTGGAAGAACAACATAAATGGCTGAAGGAAGACTGACCTGCCACACTATGGGCTGGTTAACAGCATTTACACTTTTGAACTAGATTATGCAGTTTGAAGCTGCTGAAGCTGTAAGTACTTGAGGGGGAGAAGAGCACTGGAGCAGAGTCCTGGAGCTACTCCCAGAGACAAGCCACGTCCTTTGCTGGGCTGGAACTATGTGAAGTCACCTCTCTGGTATCTGTGATAGCATTTTGCCTCCTCTGTGCTGCAGTTCCCCACTAGCCACCCATGGCTGTAAGATGGCTCCAACTCCTGCCTACTTGAAAAAAAAAAAAAAAGGAGAAAAATAAGAACAAATTGCTGGGTTCACAAATACCAGAAACCAAAATAGGCTACTTTTTGTACATGGCTCCTGCTTTCTCCAGATAATACCATGAATTAAGATGATAAGCAATTTTATGCAATAAATGGAATTCAGAAAGAAATTTCACGACTAATAGAGTAATTTATAACCTGCTATTTTTCACTTCGCAGTTATTGTGCATGGTGAGAAAAACAGGGTTTGGTGCCAAAGCAAAATTGCGAGTTTTTTCCCAGGTCCATCTTTTCCCACTCTTCACCTGCATGCACACTGTCTTCCTTCCCAAGCCCTTCACTGTAGATAGATAGCAGTACAGCAGTTGAGTACACACACAGAGGTAGTTTTGACCACTGAACTACCACTGCATTCGCCAGCACTGTTTTCTCAGAGCCGACCCAGGAAAACCAGCCAGCCGCAGCGAGAACAAACACACGTTTTCAACCCCTACCGTTCTTCTCTGAGGGCAAAATCGCATAAAGCTCCTTAACAACATCTGCTTCCTAGCGGTGAACGAGGCCCCTCTGATCCGTATGCGATTTTCCCACAAATTCCCTATCAGAATGAGATATATCGGGAGTCGGGAGTCGCAGGCGCCCGCCGGGCCCTGAGGTGGGCAGCGCTGACCAGGCGCTGAGGCAGCTACTGCCCACCGGCCCGAGGCGCTCACAGCAGGATCGACTGGGTGTCCCGCAGAGGCTGGCAGTGTCCACGATGGCGGTGGTGCCCCGAGGGAGATCCGGCCGTGCCGTGCAGAGAAGTGAACGGCTAAACGTGCCACGCGCGACCCGGCCGGGTCTCGAACCCTGGGAGCCCAGGGCCCAGAGCGGACCTGTCAGTCACTGCGCCGCTGCGTCACACTTCCTCCCCCGCCCCGCCGTCTCGTGATCCACGCTGCGGCGGCGTCAGCTGACTTGGTGCTTCACGTGATCCGTTGGCGGGTGTGCAGGTGGCCGCGGCTGCCGGCGGGGGATGGAGCAGTGACCGGTAAAGGCCGTTGGGAGCAGCTGCCAGGACCCGCGCTCGGGGGGCGGAGAGGGGAGGGAGGAGTGGCTGGGCCAGGCAGCGCCGCGCTTCGAGCGGCTCGCGCAGCGCTCCGGCCTCCCCCGGCGGCGGCCCGCGCTGGGCCTGGACTGAAGGTACCGCGGGGGCGCGCCCGCTGCCGCTGCGTCTGTCAGGGGCTCTGACAGGCCTCGGCGCCGCCAAGGGGGCTGCTGGGGGTCGGGGCTGCGTTGCCGGGCTCCCGCGCCGGGACTGAGGTACCGCTGTGGGGTTCATTTCCAGGAGGATGAAGTGAAGCGCGGTCCGGGGAGCCTGTGCTGGGGCAGCTGCTCCCGGCCCGGGTGATGGGAAACGCTGTCTAATCCCGGTGATCCGGCTCAGTGGCTCCGTGGGGTTAGGGCCGGCGCCCCCACCCCGGGCACCAGCCCGCTTGCCTCTGCACGGGGCCTGTGAACTCCCCGTTGTGAACTCTCCCGGGCGCTTCCTCACTGTGGCCGCTTCTGTTTATGAACGTGATGTCCAAACACCAGGTGTCAGAAGTGATTTCTGAGGGTGGGCTTGAAGCAATAACGTCTTGGGGACTTCGTGCTGGATATTGGGAGACTTCTAAATCACATTAGTAAATTAAGCTTTACTGTTGAGCTAATTCGGAAAGAGGAAGCAATTGTCCCTCCCCCTAGAGCCATTGTTTTTGAAAAATGTGCAAAGTGTTTTAGCTGAGATTCTGTTTTGACATCACTGTATGTCCTACCAGGTACAGTGCTGGAACAGCTGCTCACTTACTTTATTGCTTAGGTTATAATATCGTATACTCCGTGAAAGATTTTTTTTTTTTTTGAGATCCGTTTTTGCTAATAATGTAGAAATTAAGCAGTATAAATTATAAATAATCATGTGAAATACATTTTTAATAATATATGGCACTTATTTTGGGCATTAGTCAAGGCTTTAAAACCAGCTACTCCAGATGAAAGCTTCAAAGAAAGAAATATTTCAAGCATTTTATAGATGAGTTCTTGCATGTTATCAAGGAAGAGATAATGCATTTCTGACATTTGATCAGCCCAACATCTTGGCAATATGTTTATGTTACTTAAATCTCTTTGTAACAGCACATGGAAGACTTGTACTTCCAAGTTTTATGATGTGAGTGTGCTTATGAGGAAGTTTCAAGGGAGACTTTTTGGGATGCTGCCCAGTTGTGGAATCTAAAATGAGAAAAGTTTGTTCTAATGGATTTCTACTATTAAGCCCTTATAAATGAGAACTTGCATTCTTCATGAGTGCTGAACAAGATAAAGATGGGTTGAAGAACTGCTGGTCTTACAGGGTTAAATTTGCTTTGTGGGGTTTTGAGGTTGTTTGGGTTTTTTTTTGAGATGTGAATGGTTTGGTTATTCAGTATCAAAATAGTAATGTTATGACCTGTGGAACTCTTTAAGTATCAAGGTAGCTAGCTCAGTGCTCTATACAAAGTTGGAATTCCGGAACCTGTTCTGTGAAGTCCTGAACTTTGGTTCAGCATGGTCTATAGAGGGATTTTTGTATGAACTTTGTTTCTCATTTTCCTAAGAAAATCCCCCTCTCCCTCCCAGTTGTATACAAACAATTCTTACTGAAGCTGGCCAAAAGATGTTTACAGTGGCATCTCAGATGATGTTTTGCTTCTTAATGTTTTTGCTCCTTAATGTGGCTTTACCCACATTCTGCAGAACTAGGACCATAGTTTCTATTCGCTTAATATCATAGTGTGGTAGGATACTGAATGGACAATGTTTAAGGAAGAAACCCCACCTTGAAAATGTTAGCTTGATTAACTGCACTGATATTAAGAAATCATGAAGTGCTCTAGTTCATTGGGTTTTAAGCATGAAAAAAGATTTGCTACAAGTCTGTCAGGTGTTTGTAACTTTAGGCTTGTTTATGGAAGACTTGCAGTCATCATATAAAGGCTGGACAATTGGTCTTTGAAAACTAACTGTAAAAGATTGGAGAACTTTACTAACTGAAAGCAGTTGTTCTTTGCAGTGGATCTGTTAAAGGTTTAATATCATTTTTCCCCTGGAAAAAGATGTTTAGATTTTTAATGGCGAACTGATTTTTCCAATCTGTAATGCAGGGAATGAGACTGTGTCATTGCAAACATGTAACTGTTTCCTTAGCTAATACAGTCTCTGGAAACTTTATACATACTCTTCAGGGGCTATGTAAGTTTTAGTGGAATACATGAGAATGTCATTTTCCATGTGTTACTGAATAAGATTCTAGATTTCTACATTATCTTTTATTTGGATATTTGCACACTGTTGCTGCCACCACCTAGACTAGTTTAGTTGTTCAATATTTATTCCAAAGCTTTTTCCAGTCCCAGTCTAGTCAAATCAAAACAAAAAACAGTTTAAAGCTTAAACACTTCAGAGTGTGCGTGTCAGCTATAATGGTGTCTCCCTGCATGTGTGAAGTTTACTGTAAACTTGACTGTTTCTTTTATGGAGCCAGAGTTCCGTGAAGTGTAGTAAAACATAATGTGTAATGCATTCACCAAGTCTGGCATATGTTAAGGCAGCTAATGCATTGAAGTAGTCCGAATAAGAGGAAATTTCATCTAATTCTGAATCGTTGATAATTAGATCTCCTGTGGAGACCTGTTATGTGAGATAATCCACTTGGTGCTAACCAAAGAAGCCCTATAACATGGCAATGACTGAAATTGCTTTAATTTTCCATTATACCTTCTGATATCAAACTCCAGTACAGTATGACCAAGGATTGTTACAGCCTTTTTGAACATGAGGGGCCAGTGGACTCCTTTTCTCCCCTGTACTATTTCCAGAAGCAAAGAACATTTTTTCCCTTATCTTTCCAGCCTGCTTTGGCAACTTGTTAGGGGAGAAGAGAGAGTAGCGCCAGTGAGGAGAGCACAGATAATTTCCAGGCTCTTCACTTTCTGCTGTTGAATAGAACCAGCTCCTCAGGTATGTGGCCCCAGCACGGGAGAGTGCCCAGAACTGGACTGGATCAGGCTGGACAAGCTTGTGTGGAGTGGAACACGTCTCTGGTCTTGTAATACTCTGATTTCTGAGATATCCGTACCTGCGTTGGCATTGTCTGTGTTTAGAATTATAGCACTGCTATAGTACTGCAGTGTCAGATGTCTAGACATCAAGAGCCTTGATAACTAGGTGGCATCGTCTCTCACTATAAACAAGGCCCTCTAATTGACAGAGGTTATCTGTTATGTCCATTCCAAGGTGTGCTTCATGATACTAATTTAACAGTTGGCAAACTTTCTTCAGTTTAGGCTTTCTGAGTAGCTGAACAAAAGAATTGGCTACCAGGCCTTTCTTTAGCTCATCTCTGACTTCAACACCCTTGATAACTTGTTGACCCTAGAATGATTACACAGGTGAAGGACCTGTGAGTATTGTTTTGGGCCAAGTTTGCTAGTGTGTCCCGAGTCTTACAAATACAATATATTATTCTCTTTCTCAAAAAAAAGTGCTGCAGTCCACTCATTATGAAATGCAGGTCAGTCTCTACTCTTTCACACTGTACAGAAGATATTTCAAATATCAACATTATGTGTTTAGATTCTGTCAAGGTACTGTTTGATTTTGTTCTTCACTTCTTCATTAAAAATGTCCAGTAACTCTTAAGCAGCTTGTTCTGTTTCTTAATAACGGAATAATGTATTTACTCTAAACTTCTTGAGCTCATTTGCAAAGTAGCTCAACATGATTTGTATTTAGCACTGATCCTCTCTTGAGTGATGCCAGTGTATGTAATATTGAAGGTCTGCAATGACAGCAGAAGTACCAAGATTAGAAAATGTCCTTCTTTTTGTTAAATTCTTTAACTGTCAGGAGAACTTTCTTTGCATGAAAGTATAAACTAAAATTTATTGCACTTAAGTATTTTTTTAATGCATTTACTCACTGTCCTAATCTGGAAAGTGATCGGAAAAACTTTTACACCAGAGTTGAATTTTTTAATTTCATTTTCTCTTATGTGTTCAGAAAAAGTTGTATGTTATAGAAGTGCTAGAAAATAAAGCTGTGAAAATACAATTTGGGTCTGGTTTTATTTGTTTTATTTTCAGTTAGATTGTTTGCTTATAATCTTTTCTGTGGAATTGCAGTTGAAAGATGCTGATGTTGCAAAGTCAGCCTGCTTTAACTTGCAGGATGAGTGGTGATTTTCCAACTATGCAAATGTGATTTGGAGGATAGGAAAAAATGTATTTAGAACCATGTGATGCTTTTGGTAAAATCTCTTATAGTGACTGGAACTACACTTTTAATAACATGGACTGAAATGTTTTTCTTAAGGCAAAGCTTTGAATCCTGAACTAATGGCAGATGTTCTTTCTTCCTCCCTCGCTTTCCTTCTACTAGCTAGCGTCTTGCCTCCATCTTCAGAAGCAGAAAGCATCAAGATAAAGACACAAAAATGACTGAGTTCTGGCTGATTTCTGCTCCTGGGGAAAAAACCTGTCAACAGACATGGGAGAAACTACATACAGCGACTACAAAAAATAACAATCTTTCTACTAATTCGAAGTTCAATATTCCAGATTTGAAGGTATGTAAGCCTCATGTCACATCCCAAGAACTATGATTGTTTTGCACCATCTTTGTTTCTTTGGACTTAAACTGTAGATGAGGAATACTTGCAGAAGTTTTAGAGAGAACAGTTGACTTCTTTTGACGATTATGTGTAGATCAAAAAAATAATTCAGACATCTTTTTTCTGAAAATCTAAATAAAAAATTCCTCACTGTGGAAGTTTTAAGGATCCAACAAGTTGTGTTCTTTCAGAAATACAGCAGTTTTCCCAACAATAGTAGTCTTGACCTCATGCTGCTAGCAGTTAGCTGGAGAAGAAAATGAGACTTAAAATGGAGACTTGTGATCTCAGTATTCATGTGATAGTTTCCTTTTCTGTTTTTGTTTGGTTGTTGTTTTTTTTTGTTTGTTTCATTCTTCTGAATTGTCTCCTTTTCTGGCTGAGATGCAATGAAAAGACTTGATTTAAAATATAGGGGTTGGTCAAACAGCTGCTGCCTTTTCACTGTACAGAAGTAACATTCTTGAATAGTGGTTATCTCCAGCTGAGGATGTGTGTTATTGAAAATAGGAAGAAAACTGTTTGAACTAATTCTGAGAAGTGAAGAGAAACAAAATTTGAAAGCAGTTTCTCTTGGTTTAATGCAATTCAGTTTTCAGAGTATGGAAAAGTTATGAGCCAGTGTATTCATTAAGGTCTATCCCAACACCCAAATGTTTCTTGAACAAGAAAATTTGTGAGCTCTGCTTAACTGAGAGAAAGCAAAAGCTCATCAAAGCCTATCAAAATAAAGAGGGGGGAAGAAAAATGGCACCAGTCTCTGTCTGGAGAATGGGTCAAGTTGAGGTGGCACAATGCCTTGTTCCTGTCTCTGCTAAGGAATGAGCTCAGGACACAAAGTGGTTCAGTGAATCTTTGAAGAGGATCTTCTAACTGCTGTAACTTATATTCATGTTCAGATTGTCCTGAGTTATTTCAAGAGATACACTACTAGAGGTAAGAAGGGGGATTACAACAAATATCTCCTCCCAGGAGATCCTTGCACGAGTCAAGATGGCTTTCCAACTGTAGGGCGCTTACAGCATTTAGAAGAGTTATCACTGAAAACTGATGTGGCCTATTAGGGTTATAAATGATTGGATTTGTTTCTACTCTACTTCCTAAAAGGGTCAGCTGCTGAGTATACTGTATCTACAATGGGAAACAGTGTGGCTTCTGTGGACCTAGGAAAACTGCTTAAAGAGTTAAACTGCTTAGTTAAAACTCACTGAATCAGTGATTTAGTCTCCATTGAACAGCAGCCTTATTGCTTAAAGACTTACTTGTTCTGTAGCTTGTGACTAGTCAAAACAGTAGCTTCTTTATTCTACATGTAGCTCAGAAGGTGGGGCATGGAAAGTGATTTGGTTGTGATGTTACTTAAGTAATTGTGCCCCTTTTTTCTTCAAGGCTAAAGAGAACAGGAATAATATAAAGTTGAGTGGTCTCAACTTGTTGACTAGGACTAGAACAAGGATGCTAGACTAAAAATAATGTTAATAGCATCCTGACTAGACAGAAGATTAATTTATGCTTAATAGTATTTCAGCATAAAATATAAACTAGTAACTAAAATATTAACGAATTGTCTTTTTGGAGGTACCTCCTACTTTCATTGAACAGAATGAGCAAATACGTAAATACTTGAAGAGAGAACCAAAGAAACTCTTACGACCTATTTAAAAGTAATCACCCTTTGGCCATTTAACTTAAGCATAGCTGTATTGTTTTTATACTTTCTGATATCTCTAGACCCGTCTGAGACTTGCTTATGAAAGAGCTAAACAGAATATCTTACTGTGCTGTAATTTCCATGCTTAAACTATACAGAGTCTAAAATGCTAAGTAGCATCCCTGGCCACAGGCTGGTATATAGATTGCTCTGAATTATTACATGAAATTAGGGAATAAAGTGTTTTCTGAAGGAGAAGTGAAGAAAGAGTGAAAGCTTCTAGACAAGCTAGGTATTCCATTACTCAATACGCCAACAGTCTGAGTGTTGCAGTTCTCTTGTATGTTCAGTGTTTTCAGTGTTCTGGTTACCTCCAGCACTGTGATAACTGATCACAGAAATTTCAGATTTGATCTGAAGTAGTAATCAAATACTTCATTAATTTCCCACAAAGACTTGTGGGAAATGCAGCCAACTCGTAATATAAAAGTTTATTTAAGATGTTTTGGATTGCTGGCATGCAGGACAGACTATACCAAACTAGACTGAGTTAGATCTGATACTCTGGTGCTTTAGGGGTATTTTGAGCAAATGAAACGCAGTGTGACTTTTTTAAGTCCACAAGCCTTGAATCCTGAAGTACAGCATTTCATGTAGCTCTACAAAGCTACCTGTTCAGGAGGCTTAGCTTTTATTGTTATTTGCTTCTATCTTTTTTATGTTTATATACAATTGCTAATGCATTTTGATTTTTCCTTCTAGGTTGGCACACTGGATGTTTTGGTTGGTTTGTCAGATGAGCTGGCTAAATTGGATGCATTTGTGGAAAGGTAACAGTTTATTTTTACTAGCATGTAAAGTATTAGAATAATAATGTGATGGTTTCCTGTGGCCTAATAATACCCAGATTATTTCTAGCTTTTTTTTTTTGTTTCATAGTGGTCCTCTGCAGGCAGTCAATAAACTAAGATTTTAGAAAGCTGAGCTGGTGGTTTTCCTGGTATCTGTACTTGGGGGAAAATAAACCTGAACTTCTTGTGGAGTAGTGGAACACTATGTGTTGATGGAGGATGGTTCTCCCTGTAGTAGTGCTAAGTGCTGCTGGGTCCTGGATAACTGGTAAAAATTGAGCCTGACAGCTGCAGGAAGTGATGATGAAATGAATAAAAACTGTTATTTTAGTAAGTTTGAGTACTATTTACAGACTTGAGAGGGTAACCACATTGTTTCCTAATCCACAGATATGATTAAACAACATTAATATTAAAATGCAAAACCTGTTCAGTTTAAAAAGATTTATGGTCCTTTGAAGCAAATGTAACAAAATTTCACATAATCAGCATTGTGGAGCCATATTCTGCTTCAAGGAGCAAAGTAGCTGCTTTTAAATAAAAAACTATTTGACATGGCATATGTGAGCAATATTAAACATAACTTTTCTTGTGAGGAAGGCAGGTCTTGAGTGTTGAATCTCATGGGGCTTAGGGCTGAGGTTTCCCCATAGCTCTTTGGTTGTCTTTGGTGTTTCATTGTCATGGTTGCCTTGTGTTTAATTTGGATTATTGATGATTTCTATCTTGCTGTCCATTTTTTAGAAAGGGGTTAGGATTTTGAAAGTAGCACAGACTTCAAAAAAAGTGTTGGAATCTAGGGAGATAATACATGAAGTTAACCCCTGTTACCTGGAGGAAGGAAGTAGCCTCACCTTGTTGAGAACTGATAAGTAGCAACACTAGAGAAGGACTTAAGTAAAGTTCTGGCATGTATTTTTAAGTTGCTTGCCTTCACATACTGAGCCCAGTTTGTGCTCTTGGAAAGCTTGTATGTAAAGCAATCAACTCTATTTTTGTATCAAATTTCAGATCAGTTTCATAAATGGTATTTCTCAAAATAGCAATTTTTTCATTCTTCTTTTTCATATCTTTTATCTTTCATTTTTCAGTGTTGTAAAGAAAGTGGCCCAGTATATGGCTGATGTTCTAGAGGACAGTAAAGATAAAGTTCAGGAGAATCTTCTGGCTAATGGAGGTAAAGCATTAACCGTGATATGTGCATCCTAAAAGTCTAGGGGGAAGGCAGTGATCCTGAAACATATTGAATGCTGCTTCTTTCTGAAAGCCTAGTTTAGACATGGAAGTGTGTTTTTCCATGAGTCACTTGCCCTGAGATAAATTGTAGGATCCAGAATGGCAAGAAATTAAAGCTACATGTTAAATACTCTCTTACAGAAACCTTTTGATCCTTGAGGGCTGTGTTTTGTCATCACTGGTCTCTGGTGGAGCATAAATAATCTTTACCACTTTTTTTTTTTCTGTTGTAACCCTCCTTTCTCTCACCCATTTTTCACAAAAAGCAAAAAATAGTTGGTCTTGTCTGTGCTTCGCCAGCCATCATTGACTTAGTAGTAAATATCATTCAGGGTCTACAGAGGTGGAAGAAACAAGGTCTGAAGGCAGAGGTCACAGATAACTTGCAACTTCATTGTTCATGTTCAAATTTCTTAAGCATCAGGGTCCATGCATGTGAAGGTCCACAGTCTGTTACAGTACACTTCTGTTACAGCAGTCCTATATAGACAGTAAAAAGACTGATGTATTATATTCTATCTTACTCTTTAAAATTTTAGTTGACTTGGTCACCTATATAACAAGGTTCCAGTGGGATATGGCCAAATACCCGATCAAGCAATCCTTGAAGAATATTTCAGAAATTATTGCAAAGGTAAGGTAATTTGTTCTATAAACAACATGTAGAAATAGGCCCACTATGTTAGATTGATACTTTCTTTAGCAGTATCATGAATCTGCCTCATTTTGCAATGACTTTTCTGAGTTATCCGCCAATTCTGCTACCAGAAGAAGTTTGTATTGTTGCATCGTTTGGCAGTTTTACACAAATATATTTTCAAGAGCTCTACTGTGAAAATGAGGTTTGCAGTTCCTCATTCTCTAACACCTTAACAGGAAGCAAAACTGGTTCTTGTTTACAATAAACTGCAGTCAGTGCAGCAGTAACAGGCTTTTGTCTATGCAGTTATCTTTTAAAAGGTCACTGACTTCACAACTGAGAGCAATTAAAGTCTTGACAATTAGGAAGCGATGAACTGATTCGTAAAGGCAGTGTTTAGTATCAATGGGTTTTGCTTTTTTTTGTTTTAACATTTCATAGTTAGACTGTTGTTGAAAGTTTTGATCCTTGGAAAATGCAGAGGGAAAGGTGGTCCATCTGCAGTTGAAACGCACTAGTTAATAGCTTAAGAAGAATCCAAACACACTGGTTAATAGCTTAATAGTTTCTGATTAATTTTTCCCCTAATGTTGTTTTCTAGTGGTACAAAACTTTTTAGAAAAGCTTTAGTGCTTTTTCTCGTAATATGAAAGAGTTTCATGAAGACATGTGCTTGTGACACTTGGAATGCTCCACGTGCTTTGCTACAGCTTGCATCAGTCAAAGAATTTAAATAAACTTAAATACTTATCTGTTTAAATTGCCTTATGTTCAGAGTATTTTGTCTAAAGCTTTGCTGTATCTTTTAAAGGTGCAAGCTGTTAACATGTTGCCAAATGAAATTGCCAGAATATTCAGGTTTTTAATGACTTCCTCCTGCTGCAGACAAGTGAGCTTGTGTGTTACTGTAAACAAGGTCACTATATAGTGAAGGGACTTTACTTATATTTATTTTGTGGAAACAAAATCATTATCTGGATCCCCAAGCTGAAGTGTTGTATGCAAAACAAAATGTTCTGTCAGTGGTCAAAGTCCAAGTAAAGGTAGAGTCCCTTGACTACGTTCAGATATTTGTCCCTGGGAATCTTTATATGCTTGTTCTTCATACCATAGTGATGAAGCATTGAAGGAGGGAACAGGCAGCATTACAATGCCAAACCAGTACTGTACCTTATTCTTTCAGTCATCCATCTGTTATGGTGTATATTGAATGTAAAGTACTAGGAACATGATTGGAAGCTGAAAACCTACTAATTGCTTAATTTGTTATTCTACTTGCTGCCAAGTTACCTAGCTGGGAGTGAATTATTTTTGGCAGTCATGCTGGAGGGTGAATTTGAGAAGAATGGCTTACTAGAACAGCAGTGGCAAGCTGAATGTGAGAATCTGAGTCTAATCAGTAAAATAGTTGAAGCTTTGATATGAAAGTTTTAAAGATGATTGTAGGCTGCCAGTGACACTAAATGTAGAATGCTACCTGTAGTTGATTAGACAGATATATTTATCTGAAATAAGTTAGATTCAAGCCTGAAATACTGTTTATCTGTCTACGCTGGCACTGGCGCTGTGTAACTTCAGACATTCCAAAATACATACATTTTCACTAATTGAAGAAAGCCTCTATAAACCAGTTTCTTTATATTTGTAAGTCAGTGCCAGTGTAAAACATCAGCATGAAAGATGACTTTGTGAAGGGAGATGGTGTTAAAATTTATTGTGTTTACATTTGCAGACATACCATGGGAAATAGTTCTGGGGGAAAAAAGACATAAAATAACAGTATTTAGAACTGTAAGTAATAACAGCCATTTAGAATTGGGCAGATGATTCATACAGTTGATATTCTGTCTTTCAGTGCCCAAGGCTGCTCACCTTAAAAAGTGCAACTGCAGTAGGCAAATACGGTGCAACAGTTTCCTCTTAAGTTGTAGATAATGGTTTGGATTACTTAATTTTTGGATTTACTACTCATAAAACTGTACCTTCATTCTTGGCACTGAAACTAATGAGGGAAGAATATAATGAGAAGTGAAGTAACAGCTGGGGGAAATGGTACCCACTGTGTCAGGACAGGTGTCAGCCTGAAGGTGATGGAGTAATGATCAGCTGGGTTGTGGTACCATGTCCAGCTGATGCTGAAGAGGATGTGTAACTTTTATTACTGGCTGATTTTCCTTTAAAGGAATTCTACCATAGAGTTTTCTGAGTTTTTGAGTGAATTTTCTCAAGCACTGGAGAAACAAACATTTTAACCTGTGTGGGGTTTTTTTTTTTTTATTATAAAGTTTTTGTTGGCAGATCTAAGATTTGAAATTAAGAAATAATTTTTAAAATATTCCAGTTCTTTAGACACTGTTCCTTTTCTCTTTAAGGGAGTAAACCAGATTGACAATGATCTAAAAGCAAGAGCCTCAGCATACAATAATCTGAAAGGGAACCTTCAGAATTTGGAAAGAAAGAATGCGTAAGTCATTGTTTTTTTTGCTAATGTAGCACAGGAAAGTTACCTAACCATGAAAACTTTATCCTGTGTTAAGTGCAGGTTCTAAGTTTAATGTATTTTTGAGATGTTTATCAATCTTAAATAGCAGCTGTCATAAAAGCACATTTATTACCTGTTGACTCGTTGGTAATAGCTCACTTGCAATTGATAGGCAGTTCTGAAATACACAAAAGCATATACAAATACTGTAAATTGCTGGAGCTTTTGAGAGAAGCTTGCTGTTAAACTGCTGCGTAGCATTGCTACTTGGATGTCTGTCTAAACAAGGAAGTCTGTCCCTTCACTCTATTTTGTGCTTTAAGCATACTAATATTGCTGGATTTCTTCCCTCAGAATTAACCAGCAGAGTGACAGCTGTTGTGTACATGAAGATAATAAATTAAACAAGGACTGCATGCACTCTTGTCATGTACATGTGGTGATTATCTGGAATACAGTTGAGGTACAGCAGTACTTCTGGGTAAATATGGTTGATTAATTTGACCCAGCCCTACCATTGCAGTTAATGGTACAAGCCTGCTGCCTGATTCAGAACCATGGGTCATGCTAATGACAGCCACTTTATGAGTGAGCCATACATTCTGCATTAAGGCATGGTAATTTTGTCAGTTAAGCCCCATTAAATCTGTGTATGTTCTTAGTCTTTTATGAACATGAGGCAGTATACTGCTTTACATTTTTATTCAGGTTCTGTATATAGGTCTGTACGGGATTAGTTGTCATCCTGAGGCTCTATATACTGCACTTCACAGATAATGGTTTTAATGCTTCTAGTGTTTTTAAACCAAGTTTTTAAAAGATAACTTGGCTTCTTAAGTGTGTGAGGTGTTTGGAATTTGGAAACCATGCACAGCAGTGGAACTACTAGTAAAAACTTCCAGTGACTTTAGACAGTAAGATATAAAATACATATAAGGAGACATTTTGTTTGCTCTGCTAATAGCGAATGCTTAGATAAAATATGGTTTTGAAAATGTTACACCATCAAGCACTGGGAATTTATCCAGACAAATTTAGTTTTTAAACATGTATTTACTTTGTGTTTGTTTCTCTGCAGGGGAAGCTTGCTAACCAGAAGTCTTGCTGATATTGTAAAGAAAGAGGACTTTGTACTCGATTCAGAATATTTGGTCACGTTATTAGTGATTGTACCGAAGTAAGTTTGTCGTTTGTCCAAAAAGCACAATAAAATAAGAAATTAAAGTCAAATAATATATCCCACAGCCCTTTAGTACTGTAAGAAAGGACGTCTGAATTTGTTTGGGGTTCCTGGATGAATGAACACAAATGTCTGGATGCTTAGTAGAGGCAAATGAGCCTGCGTACCCGCATTCCACTCTACGTGAGAACTCATCATAAGGAATGCTGAGTGCTGTTGAATTTCTTTAAGAAAGTGGAGGTTTGTCTCTTAGCTAATATTAGCTGTCAGTAGTGATGTTGCAGAAGGTAACCTGATGAAAATACTGAGTGAAAACATGACTTGTTTTACATTAGAAAGCTTAATGATGGAATTATCCTGGTTAGAATTATGGGCTTACACCACTTAGTGAGCAAAGTGAACTCTTTACTACTTTGCTCTACAATTTTTTTTCAGATTGCCAGAGCGTTGCTTTTTAACTTGCTTATGTCTCTGCCAGTGTAACACTGCTTACATCATGTCACTGGTTTGCTGGGGGGAGCAGGTTGTTCCTGTCTGAAATATTTAAACAACAAAAGCCCCACCTTTTACCCTGACCAAGGGAAGTGGCAGTAAAGATATCCTTAGGACTCTTGTCAAATGAGAAAATGGCCCTAGACTGTCATTCTGGAGCTGGGAACAAAGGCAGCTTCTAACTTGTAAAGATAGCCAGTAGGCTGTTAATCACATGAAGCAGTAGTCTCTGTCACCAGTAAAACTGGTGAAGGTAAAACCAGTTTTGCAGTGGCTTTAGAAGAAAACAAGTGGTTAGTATATCTTGACCGTTCTCTCTTCTGCATTTCACTTGGCTTTGGTGTTCAAAGAGTGAAATCTGTTCACCACCAGCTACAGAAAGGCAAGACTTCCAAAATTCTCAGTCTTTCAGGCAAGTGCAGGACTCTGGGGAGCCCGTTTGTAATTGTGGAAAAGTATTCCTATTAGGAACTTGCATAAGGAACTTCTGATAAACCTTGACTGTTAAGTTTGTTTGGTCCCCTGGGATCTGTATTCAGTGATGACTGATTTAATGGCTCTTTAATTTCAGAAATTTTACACTTATAGACTTATATGAAGACTGAAGATAAAATGTGTTACTTTTGCTATCATTACAGTTTATTTAGCAGTGATCTTAAAAACAGCATGATGAAGACTGTCCCTTACATCTTGTGTATTTCTGACAACCTTACACCTGTGTTGAAAGACTTTGATGATTAAATGTTTTCAATTCCTTTAATTGATCCATTAATCTATGTTTTCTTAACTACAGTACTAAAAATGTAATTATAACCTGTGTATCGTGTAGGTCAAATTATAATGACTGGGTTAAGCAATACGAAACACTAGCAGAGATGGTTGTACCACGTTCCAGCAAGTAAGTAGTTAAAAGCTAAATCTCGTATTTGCATGTGCTCTATTTTACAGGTGATCTTTAACTGTAGTGACTTTGGATTTTTAAAATTAGTCAAAAACTTGACAAAATATCTAGCTTTGTAGCTTTAGCTGATCAAGCTTTTTATGTTGTAGTAAAGTTAAAAATCAAAGGAACTCTAGGGTTAAAAAAAATTACCAAACTAACTTATGGGGCAAGAGTAAAATAACTGAAAAGTTAATCTAGTTCAGGTCAGGTACATTCAGCTTCAAGCTAGTGCATGGCGGTATTTAGCAATAAATGGTAGCTGCTAGCCTGTAAGCTTTATGCCTGTATTCAGAGGACTTGAAGCAAGTTACATACACTCTTTGAAAGCTGCTAAAGAATGAAGAACTGGAAATGTGGTTGGTTTTCTTGGTGCAAGGAAAAGTAACTTGTCTCTTTTGAGCTAACAAAGGTCCTTGGTACCAAGCTGGTGCTTGCTAGCTGTGATGGGCAAGACTTGAGGCCAAGACTTGGTAGGACCATTAAGCCACTTAAGCCATCTTGTAACCACACTGAAAATAGAGTCAACATGTAGCACAAAACATTGATAATGTTGTTAATATTAACTGACAGAGTGGGGTTCTGATCAGGCCGTTTGGATATTGCCAGTTCTATGCTTATCATAAAATCTGACCTTGCTCTTGCTAACTTCACATTTGAATTGGATCAGCTTAAGCCTAGTGGGAGATCTGCTAATGGGTCTTGTTTAATTACTGGGAAAGAATAACTTAGGCATTGCCTAAAAAGAGATTACTTGTTAAACTTCTTATTAAAGGCAGTATGGCATTGAGGGACAGCCTAAATCTCTGCTCAAAATAAGCGGTATTGTCTTGAGCCGTAAAATAGTAAATCTAAGGATTGTCTTTACAGCCTAAGAAATGCCCTTTTTCTTAACCTAAGTATCTTTAATTTGTGTGCTTTTCTATTTTAAATCTATTTCATTTTTTTTTAAACATGCATTTCTATGAATTCTGTGGTTCAAACTTTTCAGTATTAAACAAGCTTTAGTTCATTTTTCTGTAAAATCATTTTAACTTGAACAAATACCCAGGCATGTATGAAGTGTTTGAGTGGTGAAGTCTCTGAATGTGAAAAGGAAACTGCTGTTCTTTACGAAGGGAGTAATTAAGAGCAGTTGCTAAAGTTTCAGTTACTTTCTGTATAAGGTGTTTAATTTGGGAACTAATCCTGTATGATTATCTACAGTTATGTTCTTGCCTAGTAGCAATAAGTACAAGTTAAACTACTGTATATCACATCTGTGGTGACCTGAATCTTATTAATTCTGACACTTTTTTTCTTTTCTCCTTTGTAGTGTACTCTTTGAGGATCAAGATAGTTACCTTTGTAACGTCACCTTGTTCAGGAAGGCAGTGGATGACTTCAAGCATAAAGCCAGAGAATATAAGTAAGGCTTATTTTGTGTGTGTTCTGTCTCTCATGCTTTGAAGGATCTCTGGATAGCTACTTTTGATTTTTTTATTCACTTCCAAATGCAGATTTATGGTCCGTGACTTCCAGTATAATGAAGAAGAGATGAAAGCAGATAAAGAAGAAATGAATAGACTGTCAACAGACAAGAAGAAGCAGTTTGTAAGTCTGTAAACTAGTCATTACAGAAACATGAGACATCTAAGACTTGCTATTGCTACGTAGCAATTTCATGAACTTGTGATTCTGAGAAAACATTGCTTAAGATGACATGACGTAGCCAAACTGCCACCCACCTAATCTGCTCAGGGATAATTGAGTTTCCTCTAGCGCAAATGCTCCTCTCTGCAGTTGAACCTAGTGCTGATATTGCAGCTCATCATATGTGAAGTTTGAAAATGAGCAAGTATTTGAATGAAATAATCAGATATTACTAAAATGGTCCGTAATATAGTTAGCCCATGGCAGCTGAGATTGTGTACTGAAAAGATACTGGAAGTCTCATTAAATTTCTTGTAATATCAAAACAGCTTTGATCCATTACGTCATAGTGAAACTCTGCCTTTAAGTTGTCTTTATTATCATGGTACAGATACAGAGTATCTGCTCAAATATGATTAATGGATTTAATGTTTTTCTGGAGTTTGAATAAGAATTTTTTTCTCTTTCCTTTCACAGGGGCCTCTGGTTCGGTGGCTGAAAGTTAATTTCAGTGAAGCTTTCATTGCATGGATTCATGTGAAAGCACTACGAGTTTTTGTTGAATCTGTTTTAAGGTAATGAGGCAGACCTGAATAGTGTGTTTCTTCCTAGACTTTGTAAGAATTTACATTTAACTTGGGGTTACCAAACTGGGTATGAATGCCACTTTTCCATGAAGGAGGAAACAAGAAATAGGGCAGTAAAAATAGCTGATGGCAATAGCTCTTGTTGATAGTTGAGTAGATAATTGTGTATCTTGCCTCTTTCCACCAGTGCTTTAGGAATTACAGATACTCTGTAAGTTGCAGCAAGGCATTTCTGTTGATTCTTAGCTTGCTTTATGACCTGCTTGTGTAGAGAGCTTACTGTATCTTCTATTTAAATGAGAAATTGGAATAATTCAGAATAAAAGAGTAATGTAGCTTGACATTTTGAAATGTATGCTTTTTCTTTAATATATGCCTTTTGAAGAGTTTTGTAGTCTAAACTTTTTAAGTATAAAACCATTCATTACCCTAACTACAAAACTTCTCTCTTTTCTTTTGTTTTTTTTTTATGTCATACCTATCCAGAAATATAGTTACTAAGTTGACTTAAGATGAACTGTATTTGTTCTGTAGAAGGAAGGACCTGAATGATTATTAGAGTTGAAAGGACTTCTACCTTAGTTAGAAAATGGAAAGGGTTTTTTTTTTTTAGCCTTTATAATAAGTTATCATAAAGGATAAATCATAAAGGACTTATTAAAGGACAACCAGAGAAGAAAAGAAAAAGAAATCACATTAAATTGTATTCTGATCTGTTTCATAACTGCTACGGGCTGAAATCTGAAGACAAACTTGAGTAAGGAAGAAAGCTGAACTTGATTTGTATATTTGCATATGTTTCCACACATCTAGAAAAGAGGAATGAGTAGAGACTAGATTCTACACCTAGTGACATAAGTGAAGCCTTGCAAGTAACCTAATTGGAATGTTCAAATAGTAGTTCACGACTTCAGGTAACTTTGAGAATTGTGCTAAGGACTCAAGGATTTAAAATGATTTTAAAAGCATTTAGGCTTCTGTTTTGTTATTTTAAAGTTTAGGAATAGTTCTATTTTATTGATACCTTAAGAACTGTAGGAACAGAATGGTCTTGCAAAAATGAAAATGAGCAGAATTTCCTCTTCAGTAACAGGTTTCATTCTCAAAATAAAATTCTGCTTGAAAGAAAACTTTATTTCAGCTTTTTCATTTCCTCAGGTATGGTCTGCCAGTTAATTTCCAGGCAATGCTGCTTCAGCCTAATAAGAAAACAATGAAGAAACTGAGGGAGGTGTTGTATGACTTATACAAGCACCTCGACAGCAGTGCAGCAGCTATCATTGATGTAAGTATTTTTGTTAAGTGTTGCTCCCCTTCAGTATTAGGTTTAATCTGTTTAAACAGAAAAGTTATGTTTACTTTATTACAAAGCTCCACCTCTCCATATTCTGCATCATCTCTCAGTACAGAAAATTCTCTTGTTATAAAAATGCCACTTCTGTTTTACACTTTTGCAAAGCAGATGGTGTTTAATGTTGGAACCTGCATTTGATGAGCTGTCTGGTATAAAAGTCTCATGTAATTTCTTCTTACTGCATTTTTCCCTACTACTGATGGAAAGATATCTTACAGACTCTCCATACGTACTCCTATCCTCAGAGAATTCAAAGTCAACTTTGATCTGAAACTGGTTTAACAAACTTTGACACTTTTCATCTCTTTGTCTTTGAGCCCACAAGGAATACATGAATTGTCCACAGTCTGTGGTTAAAGTGGCCTTTAACAAGAAATAAAAATTGCTTCAGTATTGGTTCCATTACTGTCTGTGATCAGTCTCTGCTGAAGGAGACAGAATAGATCTCAAGATGAAGTCATCCTTTCCATCTGTAGAGGTCTCATTGTGTTTAAAACTGCGTTGCTGGGAGTCTTAATCTACTGATTTGTTTTGTATTGAAAAGCAGTGCTTTTCATAGTTAAAAATTGACTAAAAAGAGACCACACAACAAGTTTAGCTGGATTTTAAAAGATTAAAAATAATTTTTCTTAACATTATATTTAATGTATATTAATGTATATTTAATGTTTTTCCAAAGTATTTCTGGGCCTTTTTGGGGAAAAAAAAAAAGAAGAAAGAAAGGGGATGTGAGACAATTAAATTGGAAATTAAAGATGCTGAGCTTCATTTAACTGGATGGATCATTCAGAACCTTGTATTGTTCTTTCCATAAACTGTTTGAGTTTAGAAGAATTTAAAACAATTGCAGTACTTGTCCTTCCATTTAGTGGTGGCGAGTTTACTACAGGAATAGAGATGAAATACTGATACACAACTACTTAGATTTTTGAAAAAAGCACTTTTATTTCACTTTGAAAAATATTGTTAGTTGTCTCAAACTTCTAACTTCATTGCTTGAACAGTCACTTGAACATGGAAATTTAAGCTTCTTTGCTTATAAAACATATGAATGTTTCACCTACTTCTGAGTAGGAGTCTGAATTGTAAGAGTATAACTGGTCTCAAAACTTTATTTGCAGGCATCTATGGATATTCCAGGCTTAAACCTCAGTCAGCAGGAGTACTACCCGTATGTGTACTACAAGATCGATTGTAATTTGCTGGAATTCAAGTAAAAGTTCCCTAACATGACAATCTTCTCAGTGTTGGTGTAAACAAGCAGAAGTGAGATTGAAGTACAGTAATACTTTTAACACTGTTAATCATATGCTTGCTTCTTATGTTAGGTGAATTTAACACACAGTGGTCCATCTCTATAGACATTTTCTTTTTAAAGAACAGAGTATAGGTAATCTGCTTTTAATCAATTATGTCTGTAAATGTATATTGAGAGAATTGAAGTATTTATAAACAGAGTGATTTATTTAAGGAAAAGCTCATTCCTCTTTCATATGGTGGTCTGTGTTAATTCCCTTTACCATTGTTTATAAAAAATGTTTACAGAATAGTGTAAATGTTCATGGCCATTTTGTTCATTTGATTTAGCTGGTACAATTGTGTTAATGTTGTTGAACTGTGATGTAAAGTATGTAAAATTGGTATGAAATTGTGCTTTATGAATGGTTTAAAATTACAATTGAAGCACTGTAAACACAGGAGAAAATAAACATACCTGTGCAAATGTGTCACTTTCTCATACCACGTATAACTGTAGATACCTTCATCTAAACTGAACCAGCGTATTAAGTCTTAAAAGCAATGCTTCAGTCAAATACTTTTAGGAGATATAGTTATTTGTGCAGAAATGTTCAAGTATGTTTAGCCACTAAACCTACATACGACTATTTTCCAGGTTTATACCTTTGTGACTGTAAAGAAAAGATACAGAACAATTATTGGCAAGGTGGCAGTAACCTGGGATGCTAGGCTGGCCTGGGATTTTTTTTTGTAATTCTTTGTTGTCAATCAGTCAAAGCCTGGGAGTACTGCCTACGTTATGGCTTTGAATAGTCTAATAGTAGATGTTTGCTTTTTATTGTTATTATTATTTATTGTTATTTATTGTTTGAAGTACTGTAACCGCTGGAAGTTTTTCTAATCTGGTCCCTAACTGAAAATACCAGTGCTGTGCATCTAAGCTGCATAGAGCTTCCCACAGTAGACTCTCTACTCATGAACCAGAAGCACTTCTGAGGAATTTGCTGTCTTTGATTAAGCCAACACTGAGATATCTATTAAAACAGAAGGGTAGTTTTTGAGTGCAGGAGTTACATCTAGCTACTGATAATGATGTGGAGTTTGAAGTCTATAAAAATACTAACTCTATAAAATGATATTTGCTTTTCTTACTGTTTTCATAGGTGAAAAGGGAAAGGGCAAGATCAGGTGTTCAGTTGTGCTCACACTCCCATGCTCTCTCATTTTCTTACAGAAGGTAACAGCTGCTTACTGTGTTGGCCAAATTGTTAAAGTGTGTGAGCAAGTAGAAGGGGTTTTCCTCTTTATCGCTCAGCTCTGCCCCTTCCACTGGCTTTTATTACTATAAAGATAGTCATCTTGGTTCTGAGCCTGCTGTGACTGAGATAAACTACCTAGGTGTAAAGAGGCCTTCTTTTTGGTCCACTGGAAGCATTTAATTTTGCTTTCTTGATCACAGATGGAATTGGGCGAAACTGTTACCTTTGTTCTTAATCTTAGTTCTTTTTGGATTTTTGTTTTCAAAGCCTTCCTATGAACAAGTGCAGTATAAAGGCTTAGGTTTCCAGTGAGTACCACACAAACTGTTTTGCTGTGTTCTTTACCCTGTTCAAGGTACCTGGTGCCTGCTAAAGCAGCACTTGATTCTCCCCAAAAGAATGGAAGCAAAAGCCAGCTGGACAATAGAGTGACACCACCACTCAAGGTGAGGGAAGCAGTCGTTATCCTGTCACAGGCAAAACAGACTTGACTTGAGGAAGATGAAGTTTATTGCCAATTAAAATAGATTTGGATGGTGAGAAGCAGGCAAAAAAATGAAACACCTTATGTCCCTTCTTTTTTCTGAGACTCAACTTCACTTCTTTTACTCCCAACCTCCTTCCTTCTTCCCAGCAGTAGAGAGGGATGAGGAGTGGGGTGTTATTGCCACTTTACAACAGTTCCTCTTAGCTTCACCTTCCTTCTTACACATTTCGCCTGTTCCAGCATGGCTTCTTCCACAGGCTGTAGTCCTTCAGTGTGAACTAGTCTAGCATGGGTCTCCTGTGAGCCACATCTTTCAGGGCATGTCCATCTGGTCCAGTTTGGGTCCTCCAGAGGCTACAGTGTGATGGATGTCTGCTCCAGCATAGACCTCTCCAGGGCTTATGGCACAATACCTGCTCCCCTGTGCCCTGCTCCATGGGCTGCAGGCAGATACCCGCTGTTTATTTCCTTTCAGTGATGTATCTAGACTACAATTATCTGTGGCTGAACAGACTCAGAACTGCTGTTCACAAGGAAGTGAAGATCACAGAATATTAAATGTTAGTGACCAGTCTTGGAATAGGTGACATCTGATACTGCTGGGCTTTTTTAGGGGGTGAAGAGAGATACTATGGATAGAAGGAGTGGGAGTTAGTCTGTGTTAGATTTGATTTATAGAGAAAGGTTAGAATCAAAACCTCTTTTTACTGTTTGTTATATTTCTATGGGTCTTAAAAGATTTCTGGCAAATGGAACAGGGTTAAAACTGTAGGAATGGAAAATTTTCACTCTGAGAAGCATGCCAGGTGATTCAGATAGTAATTAATTTGTGGAAGAAATGAAGAGTGTAGTCTACTCTGGAATGTGAGGAGTATGGGAATTTTATTTGTATTATAATAAACATCAGTCCTAATAGGAAAAGCAAGCATAACTGGATTGTCTCAATTTACATCTCTGCAGGTAAAATCTGAGGAGACAGCTACTGCACAACACAAGTATCTGAAAGAGCAGTGTACAAATATTTTAGTAGATTTAGCATAGATCTTGAAATGCTCATGGGTACCTTTTGAAAACTGACAAAACTTAATAATGAAATCATATGGCAAAGCAATACCTGCAGTGAGTTCCAGGATCACCAGGACTAAGGAAGAAGGAATGGAGAACAGAGGGTAGAAGAAGAGGAAATGTGGTAGCTCAGGGATTGTAGAAGGGGGAGTTAAACAGATGAAGAAAAGAGCTAGTAACTCATTAATGAGCAGGGAGGGGTATGGAGGAGTGTCACCATAGCTGAGGACAGAGCAGGAGAGAATTTCAGTGAACTTGAACCACAAACCAACTTGTTGGAAGAAAACAAGCACCACTTTATCTTGAAGAAAAGTAAGAAGAGAGCCTGGGGAAGTACTGTCTCGTCATCCTTATCTTGATCCCCTGGAAGATGATGGAGCAAGCTATATTGAGGCCAGGAAGGATGGTTAAGGGGTGTCAGTGTGGATTTGTGCCTTACCAACCTGATAGCCCTCTACAATGACATTAGCACAGTGCATGAGAGTTTATCTTGACTTAGCCATGTGCTTGACACTCTCCTCTAGCATCCTTAGTGACAAACTGATGAAGTACAGATGAGGTAGGAGGACAGTGAGGTCAACTGAAATCCAGGTGAACTGAAGGTCTTGAAACAGGACCTGCCACCTGTTACCAGTGGCATAAAGTCCAACCAGAGAGGTCACTTACTAGTGGTGTACCCCAGGGGTCAATACTGGGGCCAGTATTGATTATCATTGTTATTAATGTCCTGGATGATGGCACAGAGTGCACCCTCACCAAGTTTGCTGGTGATACAAAACTGGGAGGAGTGGCTCGTACATCATCACATGCTCCCTCCCATTCAGAGGGCCCCTGGTACGCCGGAGAAATGGGCAGATGGGAACTTCATGAAGTTCGACAGGGTGAAATGTGAAGTACCACATCTGGAGAAGTTTAATTTTCATAAAGATACTGATAATTTTGAAAGCTTTCTGAAATAAAAATGCATCTATGTTCTGCTGAACCTCTAGATACAGCAAAACATTGCTGGCAGTGAGTGATTCCTGAGCAGAACTGTTTAGAAGGTAACTTCTTCCTGGATAATTTTGTACATGAATTTGGTGGGTTTTTTTCAGAATTCCCTCTGCAGAAGGTGTGTTTCAGTTCTGCTCCACTGCTTCTGTCAACAAGTGCAGTGTTTGTCTTCTGCCCAACTGGGACTGGATTCTTAGAGTGATTTGCCACCAGCTTAGTATTTGTCTCCAGGCAAGCGGTGTATATTTTATCTAAAACTGACATAAACGCCTTCAAGAGTGCAATAATACGTGAGATGAGTCACAAATATGGGATATCACCCTTCGCTTTGTGGGGATGGGATCCCTGCCTGGGATCTTTTAGTGTTGCTTCAGTATAAACAAATTAACTCTGTCACTTTCTGTACTATGGCATTAACTGTGAGAGTCACAAGTAGGTAAATCATGAATACTTTATCTTGCAAAGGTCTGGGGTTTGTGTATCACCAAGTAGTTTGCGTTTTGTAGGGTCAGGAGGAGGAATACAAGTGTAGTATTTGAATTCCTGCAACTTCATTGAATTGGATTTTCCTGAGGTTCATTTGAATCCATAAGCAGCTTATTGCAGATGTTGTATTTCCCTAAGACTTAGGGGCCAGATGGTGGTGCTAGATGGTGATGCACCTGAGAATCTGTGTCTGTGTGAACACTTTTGGAGAGCCCTGCGCTGGACAGAGTCAATGGGAAAACTACAGAGGAAGCCAAGTTAAGCGAAAGTAGATGTTGGAAAGCCAGCTTTGAACAGGCAACTGCAGTTTTATGTTAAAGAAGCATGAGCATGCGTGATGTTGTGGAGATGTTCCCTTTTTACTGGCCCAGTATTGCTCTTCTAAAAAATTTGGTGATTTCAGCTTTTGTCCTATGTAGGCTCATTAACAACCTCTCCAGTCTTACACTGTGTCTGCGGTGCGCTCGCTAACACGTTGTTTTGATTGCAATCTTCAGAATGGAAGTCTTTATTTCTCACCTCCAGAGAGCGATATCGAGCTACTTTCAAAAAGCTGCTGTTTGCAACGCTCAGCCTCTGCTGAATGGTTTGTGTTTGGGCTGCAGCGTTTCGGCTTTTCATAATGTCATCTCACAGGCACGTAATACCAAGGAACTTATTAATATTGTCCATAAGTGTTACGCTTTGCTTCCCCATATTCCATAGAGATTTGTATGGTGCCATGTACGTATCCAGCCGCTCCCTGAAGAGCCTGAAGAGATTGACACGTCCTGACCAGTGGAACAGAGTTCTTCTGGACTCAGAATTGCTACTTAAAGTAGTGTATGTCCAATTTCAGATACATTGTCAGATTTCAGTATTTTAAAAGTGTATTCTTTGACTACACTGTTTACAGTTTCTGTTGATTTTACCACATATTAAATGAAAGGATTATTAGGGAACACATGCTTTTTTTTTCCGTCAAAGCAAAAGTCTTCAACTTTCAACCTTATGTACCGTCTCCTTTTGCAGTACATGACCCTACTTCAAACCAATGGCAACAAAGGGAAAAGATAAAGCAATCCTGCAGCTGAAGGCTATGAAACACTGTCACAGGCCTTTTAATCCTCTTCTCATTTTTTAAATGGGTTTCTGAATGTGAAAATGCTCCTGTAATTTCTGAGCTACGGAGTTTTCCTTCAACAACAAACCTAGATTT